TGAAGTCAGTCGATGTTAAGTGGAGAGTTCTGGGAATTGAAGTTTACAATTGGTGGCCGAGCAATTCTGAGAGTTGAAATCCACAGACGCTGAGTGGAGAATTCTGGGAACTGAAGTTCACAAATGCTGGCTGGGCGATTTTGAGAGTTGAAAGTCCATGAATGCTGGGAATTGAAGTGCACCAGTGCTGGCTGGGGGATTCTGGGAGAATTGGTCCCTAGATAACGACTGGAGAATTCCGGGACATAGTCCACCCGTCATAAACTTGCCAAGATGGAAAACTATGGACTATGGCATAATAACACCCCTTTTTTTTTAAAAAAAAGAAAAGAATCATTGGGACAATGACACAAATGATACCAAATCTTTTCGAAGGGCAGCATAAAACGTTGGATTGTGTCTCTAGGTTGCAGACAGTAGCTTGAGCTATCGTGAATTTGAACCCGGGCCACACTGCTGCTGGTCTGACATACTGAATTGGAATAATGTTTAAGTCCCATTTCCTCTGTAGCCACCATGGCAGCATTTTCTAAGCCATCTCAAGCCATGCAGGATCATAGAATAGAATAGAATAGAATAGAATAGAATAGAATAGAATAGAATAGAATAGAATAGAATAGAATAGAATGAGTTGGAAGAGACCCTGGAGGTCTTCTAGTCCAGCCTATCCCATTTCAGGTAAGGGACTGTTCTAGTCCCTTCTTTAAAATATCCAGTGGTATTTGAGTGCTTAAAAGGTGCGAGGGCAATGAAAACGTTTTCCCAAAGCTTTGGTTTTTCTTTCTCTGTGTCCAGAGTCCTTGACACAGAACACGGTGCTTATTTTCAGCCCTTGTCTTCTGCCTCCATTCTGTGTCCAAATTATTCCAAAGTGACCGAGAGGGGAGGAGAGAAGGAAAAACCTTATTCTGCAAGAGGCTGGACCATGCCAACAGGCACGCATTGCATGTACAACGTGAGTCATTATTCCTAAATTCTAGGAATATCGCCGCCAAAAAGCCACACGGATGTTTTTCTCCGTTCTTCGCACAATTCCTGGCAGCAGCTGTTGCTCTGTGTGCAGATCTGCCATTTTTGCACCCCAAAATAGGAAGGGCCGAAAAGAGTTCCAGGGAGCTGTCTCTACCTCCTCCTCCTCTTCCTCCTCTTCCTCCTCTCCACAAACCCCACTCCCTCTTAGCACTGATGATGTTACCTAGTTGGGTCATGAAACGTCTGCAGGAAAAGAATCAAGCTCAGAGAGCACGAAGGATCTTACAATCCTCCTCCTCCTCCTCCTCCTCCTCCCTGCA